CCCAGCCCACGATGCACTCCCAAATGGCAGGCGCAGCGGGAATTACCCGATGAGCAGCTTTGCCGCTCCTGCTGTTCCTTCGTTGCCTTGTGCCCTCACAGAACTTTGCTTAAGCCAAGGATGTGAAGTTATTAATTGTCGCCATGCTGACTCCTCTGGCTGTCTTGAGCTTATGTCCCTTATTACAATATATAATGCATCGCAGCAGTGAAATGGGGCACCATAGCAACAAGGGCATGTGGAAGCTGGCTATTAAACCAGAAAGGTAGGTGTGACAGAGGGCCCGGGGTTTGTCAATAATTCATTCTTTATGGCAAGAGCAAATTGATAAAAGGCATTTAGAAAGAGGTAAATCTATTCTTTCTCTGTGATCACGTAACGCATCCTTCATGAAGATGTGAACTAACACCTCTAATAAGAGGTAAAGGACACACAATTCAGAGGCCGATCACTCCGATCTCCATTTCCTTACTCCCCCCCACAAATCAAAGTGAAATACTGTCCTTGAAGACAAGGCAGGATGAGAAGCTTCCCAGAAAACGAGGGACCAGAGAGCAACGCTAGAGGCACAGCCCCACTTGGCACACAGCGTGACTCTGCTCCAGCTGCACGGGGCTGGCCAGGGGCACGGGGCCAGATGCGCTCCTTCCCCCACAGTCACCCAGCGACCTGCAACCACCCTTACAGGCTGCGAGACAGACACATCTACGTTCATGGTACAGATGGGTTCTTGTCGTCTCCTTGTAACTATTTAGCCTGGTTCAGGAAACAACCGCTAATTCTCCACAGACGGAAAACCCTCAGCCTATACGGAACTGCAGAATAGGGATTCAGGGTTCGGTGGCTTTGTTTGGAGAGCAACTAAGCCAGCCTGCCTTTCTCCTCTCATTAAAACGTGCTGCAAAGAGGTACGGCTAACGAGCAGAAAGACGGGAGCTGCAGGACAGACACGCCGGTGCAGCAGCAACACAACCCGGGGGCGGCGAGCAGCAGCCCCGGGTGGCACCTACGCAGCTCATCTCTGCAGCCCCACAGCCACTGCAGGCTCCCACAGCTTCTGCTGAGAGTTGGTGCTCTTCCTAAAGTCCACCGAGCCTGGCGGCAAAAGCGTGTCATGCTTTTCACAAGCAAACAGCACGACTGTCCAGAATATCAACCTGCCAAATGAACCGAAACACACCTTCCGCTTCTCTCTTAAGCAGCGAGGTATGTTTTCCTGTACTTTTCGAGATTTACAGCAAAACCTCTCCATTCTGGGTAGCTGTGCATCCTCTCGCTGTGTCTATATGAACAGTAAGGTAAAAGCTATCAAGAATAACAAAACAGCAGACGTGAATCTGGTAAACTTCAGTAATGACATCAGAAATCTTTCACGGCGATCAGAATGAACCAAGCCTACAAACAAGAGGGGAGTCAACTCTTCGAAAGGATAGATGACGGCAGGACAAAGGGAAATAAATTTTAAGTTGAGGAAGGGAGGCTTTAGGTAGGATGTCAGGGAGAAGTTCTTTACACAGAGAGCGGTGAGGAGCTGGAACAGCTGCCCAGAGAGGTTGTGGATGCCCCGTCCCTAGAGGTGTTCAAGGCCAGGTCGGATGGGGCCCTGGGCAGCCTGGTCTAGCATTAAATGAGGAGGTTGGTGGCCCTGCACGCGGCAGGGGGTTGGAGATTCATGATCCTTGAGGTCCCTTCTAACCCAAGCCATTCTATGATTCTATCCAGAGAGAGAAAAAATCCTCCGTTCTTCTCTATCTAAAAAGGGGAAAAAAAAAAAGAAAAAGGAAAAAAAAAAAAAAAAAAAAAAAGACAAAAACAGTTTCCAGGATACCGGTGTCATCAGCAGTCAGGACAAACATGCTCGTTCTGTTCATCAGCCTTTGTGAGAGCAAAAGAACCTAACAACTCGGAAACATCCGATAGCCAAGCTTACTGCTTATTGCAGCCAGATCCGCTGTCTTGCAGAAATGAATTAACCATGAGTAGTGCTGCTGAAAATAATGGAAAGATTTATTTAGATCGACAAATGGTATCATGGAAGAAGATAGCCTAAGTTAACAGCAAATAATGAAAAGTAGAGTAAAAAGCAAAAATACTGAAATAAATGAAAAAATCATGGCTATGCGCCAGGAGAACTTTGTAGACAGAAAATAGCAATAAAGTTTGCTGTTGTTGACAGCAGATCTACAGCTCTTCATTAGGATATTAAAAGGGAAGTTGGTGCAAGAATAAAAAAAAAAAAAGAATGTAAAGTTTAAGAATGAAGGCTTTCATCAAACATTTGGGAACAGAAGCTTTGGCTATCATGTGTTTCTTTTGCTATTTAGAGTGGTGTCTATTACCCAGCAAAATCTAATAGTCTTTCTGAGGTGATGCTGCCAGTGGTGGCTTTTCACTGCGGTCCCTTCCCGTTCGTTAGTTAGTGTTTAATAACACATTTCTACCTTTTTATTGAAACAAAGGGCAGTAAAAGCACATTAGAAATAATGTTTAATCAAAATATAAGCAAGCACGAATAACTGGTCACAAATTTCACAATCCCTAAGCGAAGAAGAAAACAAAATGCCGCACTTTGTCACCTAGCAAGGCCTGCGTGTGAAGCAGAGGGAGCCAGACGTCCCACACGTGTGCCGGTGGGAGCTAGGGTCTTCCCTTCAGCCCAAGCACTCCTTAGCAATCTTATTATTTCCTACAGGGGCCAATGGCACCGGTTTCTCCACAAACATAATCCTTCCTTATCGGAGATAGCTGGAGATTCTACAGCTACAGTGCAGTCCACAAAGGAGAGCTGCAGACATGCGTGGCTCAGACCTTACGCTACCAAAGGACTCTACTCCGGAGTACAGAGGCGCCCAAAACTGAACACAGTACTTGAGGCGAGGCGTCGCCAGCGCCCAGTACGGGAGCAGGATTACTGCCCTGGGCCTGCTTACCACACCATTCCTGATACAAGCCAGGACGCCGTTGACTTTCTCGGCCACCTGGGCCAAGTTTTAGTTTCGGGCAGTAGCTCGTACAAGCATTTAACTCCCATGTATCCCCCGAGACCTTCTCATTCCGACTGCGGAGTGGGAGGGACTCTTTTCAACCCATCCTTTGTGTGCGATTGTAACTCAAAGTTTGGTTCCTCCTGTCTTCCGCCCATCAGACAATCAGATAAGTGACGCGAGGCGTTTTGCGAGATTCCGGTGAAGAGCCCTCTCAAAGAACTATGAAGTCCTTTCACACCATCCTTCAGCCGGTTCAAAACTGGAAGTTCCTCGTGGCATTAATTTGGAAGGGAAGTTCTTTGGAAGGACGTCACGTCAGACGCAAAGCGATCTGTTTGAATTCGGCACAATTATTTAACTTATTAAATGAATTCCACAGCAAGGCGAGGAGAAGCGCATAACAAACTTTAATTGAAAGTCTAGTTTAAGCCCCGAATTCAGATCTAGAGTCCGCACGTCTAACTGTCAGGGTCCGCGGCCGCCGCTAACGAGGCAACGACTTCCAGGTGCGGCGGGGCCGGGGCCAACCGGGCACAGCTGCGCCTCGTCGGCAGCCCGGGGCGGGTCCGCCCAAACGCCTTTTAAGCTCCGCCGGAGGCCGCAGGGAGCTACGGGAGCTGTCCGGGTTCGCAGCTTGCGGGAGCCGGAGCGGACTCTGATCCTTCGTCCGGTCCTAGCGCCGCTGATGCTGCTTTTCGAGTGAGAGCTTTGGAATCCGTGTA